ACTCTCTAGGACATTTTTTAGATAATTAATTAAATAGGACTAATATTGGTCATAAATTTATATGGATTGATCTTGAACATATTTATGACTTGTCCAAAATTTTCCATGGCTATTTAAGTTTGTTAATAACTTCAATTTGACAATTCAAAGCTATGGGTCATAAATTGACCTATATCTTTAAATTGTCATAGTTTCAAATCCATAAAGCATTTAGGTTTGAACTTTTGTGGTTTGGTAGATTAGTGCCCAAGGGTTAGATTACAGTAATTTTTCCAAGGTCTAAGATCTAATTAGCCAAAATTTGAATTTCTAAAGTATAGATGCATTTACTTTCAAAATTAATTGGAAAATCTTATGAAGACTTTGATGACCCATAATTTTGATGGTTTAAACCTTGAGTCTTAATTGACTTAAGGCTTAAATTTCATAGTATTTGAAACTCATTTAGTTTGTCAAATAATACACCCTAATTCGCATTACATAAATGACCTAGAATTTTCAATAAATCATCAAAAGTTCAAATTAAATCCTAAAAAATCTAAAGTAAAGCTCATTAAATTTAATTTTATAAACCACTAAAAGAAAAACTAAAAGCCTTATCTGAAAATTAAAAAATAAAAAATAAATCAAATATTAAAAAAATTAATAAATAAGAAATAAAATAATTAAAAAAATTCTCAAATAGCTTTCATTTTTATTTTTTAAAATCAAAGAATGATTTTATTCAAACAAAGAAAAAGGATACAACCAATCCAACCACTAAAAAAGAAAGATACACAACAAAAAATAGAAATGACGAGGTAGCCATCCAAACTCAGAAATTGGCATAAAGTTTCTTGCGACCACCCAGATACCAAGCTAGGACCATCCATAGGCAGTGGCCAGCAACAACCCAAAAAGAAGCAACTAACAGAAGAAGTAACAACCCAAATAAGGCCACAAAATAGAACAAGCCGAGTCACCACCAATGGTTGCCAATAAGCCTCGGCAATCTATGTGGAGATCAAAAACTCATAACATCATTGCCCATAAAATAATAAAGCAACTGCTAATCCAATCCCAAGCACCACATCCACCCAAAATAGAACCAAGCACAACCTCAAAAACCCAAACTCTATGCAACCAACAAAGTGACACACGACCAACAATGCAAAAAAAGTCCCCAACAAAAAGAGAACCACCATAGTTGCTTCCTTTTTTTTTTACGTCCCCGACGTTTACCACCTCCATGTGACAAGGCCTTGTCAATTGTGCGATTCACATTCAAGTTAAACAAACCATGAAAATCCTTCTTGACCCTCTAAATCCTTGCCCTCACCCTCACCAAACGGGGACAAGTTGTCTTTGAGCCAATCCAACTGGTTCACACAAGAATCATGCAAAGATATGTCCAATTGAGCTTTTAAATCCTCATTAGAAATAATAGAATCAAGGATCTTAATTGTGCCATAAAAAATTATCAAGGAAGAAGAGGGCATTGCATGTTCAACAACAACATCAAGCAATTCACTTAATGGATCATTTAACACCATTGTATCACACAACAAAATTCCATGTTAACCACTTCCAAAATATGAGAGGCAGTTGGAGTAAAACACACATAATCCTTCCCAATAATAGCTAGAGAATCATTAGCCTCTTGCACGGGATAATCAGAAATAGTGACAAGAGGATCCACTTCCTCAAAACCATTAGCATGTAAACCATCAAAGGCAAAAATCATTGGCTTAGGAAGCCCAACATTACAAACCAAAGCAGACGTAGGGGAAACTTTCAGATTGGGCAAACCCAGGCTACTAGCATCAATAGAAAATTCTAATGACCCTCACCAATAAAAACAGCCTCCTTTTGTATATCCAAATCCACCTTAGCATTAACTTGCTCCACATTGATCAGCAAAAACCCCTCAATACATACATTATGAGAGGGAATAATAGGAGGAATTGGATTCAGGGTATTACATTCCACCTTCAAATGGCCAAGGGATTTGAAGTGCAAACAATAAGAAGGGAATCCTTACATGATAATAATTTGAACATAGCCCAAGTTTTTAGGACCAACTCACACCCGGTCAGGATAATGTTTAGTAATATCCAACTCAACTAGAACTCAAGTAGCCAATGGCCTAGAGCCACAAGCAGTAGCATGATCGGTTTTAAGAGCTCGACCAAAGAGGGAGCCTAAACCATTAAGGATACGGGGTGAGAATAGGTGCGATCTAAGCTGGAGAAATGACATCCAAATGGGGATTATAGGATATTCCACATTAATATCAAACATAGAAGATCACTTGAAGAGCTTCACAATGAAATTGTTCACAAATTATGACTGGTGAGAAAACACTCTACAATAATCAAAATCATTAACCTGTTTAATCAACACATGCCTTATATTGAGAATGGTAACCGATACCTCACCAATAAGCTTCAAACTGAAAAAAATTGTGAATAACATCAAGAAAAGGATGGCGAGGCAGAAATTTTCCAACTAACATGAACTCAAAAGGCGTAAGAAGAGCTAAATTTTCATCTTTCAAATTCCAAAGCGATGGCATACTATGCTGGGAAGAAATTTTCAGATCTGAAAAACTTGAAGAATGAGAGTCATCAACTAAAGCATCTTTTAATGAATGAGAGGAGGACATCCCATTCAAAATATCAGGATCGGCGAGGCGAACAACCATATCCACAAAGACAATAGTAGGTACTGCAAAAACAATCATATAAATTGAAGAGAAAATGACCGAATAGAATGAAAACTAGAGAGAAGGGAAAAAAATGCACTTCCCTGAGAGAAGAAGGATGTCGGAGAGCCGGGATTGCAGAAACAGCTAAGGCGGAAACCCTAGCGGAGAGCCCCAAACCATTGTGAAATAAAAAAAGCAATTCTTCTTTCTATGAATTCTCAAATAGCTTGAACATCTTGTAAATCATCATTAAGGGTCATTCATGACCTCTGATGATAGTTTTAAATTGATTGAAGTTGATTATGTTCAAAAATCATAGTTAACCTAATTACTTGAATTAATTAATTCATTTACATAGGCTGATTTTATAAAAAATAGAATTAAATAAATAAAAATCTAAAAATATAAATAAAAGACAAAATTTATAAAATAAAATAGAAAAAATATTAAATAAATATAAAAACAGTAAAAAATATAAATCAAACTTTTGTCAACATACCTAACTAGAGAATAAAATCTAAATAAAAGACTAAATTCATAAAAATGCACATCAAACTTTTGTCAACATACCTAACTAAAGAACAAAATCTAAATAAAAGACTAAATTCATATATAATATAAAATAAATAAAGAATAGTTAAAAAAGTAAAGCAAAAAAATAAAAAAAAAATCTAAATTTTCAAATTATTAAATTAATTAAATTGAATATAGTAAATAAAAATGCATTAATTAAATAAATTCAAGTAAGGAAATAAAAAATATAAAAAAACTAAATTAAAATACATCAAAATTCAATTAAAAAAAGCTTAATTAAAATTAAATGTAAATTAAAAAAATAAAATAACTTTAGCAACTAAAGGAAAATAAATAAATATTAAATTAAAATTCAAATAAAATTTAAAATTAAAAATGAATAAATAAAAAAATAAATCAAAGAACATGAAAAAAAGTTGATGTAAAAATAAATAAACCTATATCAAAATAAAAACTTAATTTAAATTAATTAAATATAGCAAATTAAAATAATTAAGTAGAATAAAATTAATTAAATAACATTAATAAATGTGAAGGCTATATGCACTTGATTGATCACATAGGAGGAATCAAATGCATTACATTTGAAAGCCTAGGACCTTTTGATTAAGAGCTTAAAGACTTGAAGTGATTATATAATGGGGTTCTTTAAATCTTAAATTAATAAAACAATTAAATAAAATATAAGGATTATATGCACTTAATTTGATCTATTATGAGGAACTTGACCACTTTTTCTTTTACAGTAGATCCTAGTTTGCTCACTGCTATCATGCATCTCTGCTGTCGGCAGCTGAGTGTATTCATTATCAACCACCACCTTCGGCTACTCATAGCCTTCTGCTACCATCGTCAATCACTATCCACTTCTATTATTAGTGTTTACACGACATTCATTATATTTAAGTCAAATAAAAAATTAAATTACCAATATTTACTTTATAATTATCCAAACAATTCTAATCTTTTCAAATGCATGCATTTTTTTCCTTATATTCCATTTTACCCATTTTTTCTTTTTAAGCAAGGCAAACAACACTTTCGGAAAATAATTAATAATATGGCATTTACGACTTGTACAAATTTGCAGCATGCGGGTGGATTTAACTTTGGTAGCTTCTTTTTTAATTAAAAAAACTCATTTACTATGTAAAATTTAATTATAAACATCTCTTTTAAGCACTATTTTGATAACCAGATCGGACCGGCCGGTTCAACCGTGAACCAGTCTGATGGCCGGTTCAATCCAGCTTACAAAATCGGCTCTGCATCAGACCGGATCAAACTGGATTGAACCAGCGACCGGTGAGCCGATGTGGGTTGGAAAGAGCCGGCTGGTTAAAAAAATTATTTTTGTTTTAATTAATGATGATAAATTTTTTATATTATAGATTCACATATTGTATTAAATATTATTCTTAAATAATATTTATATGTATAAAATTTTATTATATATTTTAAAATTTTATAAATATTATTAAATGCTCATATACCTATATTATATTATATTAATTTTATTAATTTTTAATAATATTCTTATTTATTACATCATCCGGTTCGACCCAAGTTCAACCGGTCGAACCGTGAACTTCTCTTTCTTCGTGTTCCTTACCCTATCCAATTTTCACAAGCAAGAACCGGTCGAATGAACTTCTCTTTCTTCATGTTTCTTGCCCGATCCAATTTTCACAACCTTGATTATAAGTGTCTTTTAAAAAATTAAAATTAAGAAACTTTCTAATGAAAAATAATAATCTAAATGACAGGAGTTCATACAAATTTTCTGACTGCCATCGAATTATTCCAATTAAACGGTCGCTCATACCCGCTGTTCGTCGGCAGAAAACCTGAACCCTAGCCATGGTTTGTATCCGCCAAGCGACAATGGACGATCTCCTGGCGATGCAGGCCTGCAATCTGATGTGCCTTCCTGAGAACTACCAGATGAAGTACTACTTCTACCACATCCTTTCGTGGCCGCATCTCCTATTTGTCGCCGAGGACTACGGCGGAAAGATCGTCGGCTACGTCCTCGCCAAGATGGAGGAGGAATCTTCCGAGCCCTGCCATGGCCACATCACGTCTCTCGCCGTCCTCCGCACCCATCGCAAGCTCGGTCTCGCCACCAAGCTCATGAACGCTGCGCAGAACGCCATGGAGGGCGTCTTCGGTGCTGAGTACGTATCGCTGCACGTACGCCGCAGCAATCGCGCCGCTTTCAATCTTTACGCTTCCACCCTTGGCTACAAGATCCACGATTTGGAGGCCAAATACTACGCTGACGGGGAGGACGCATATGATATGAGGAAGCAGCTTAAAGGAAGGCAGCAGCAGCCCATCACTCGTAGCCATCACCATCATCACCATCATGGTGGTGGGTGCTGCTCGGGCGAGGCTAAGCCGGTTGTTGATGTTTCTGGAGTTGCTACATCTTCGTCAGAGGGGAAAGGTTCTTCCTTGGAGAACTAAGGTGAATAATTACGGTAAAGTTTGCGCAGATCATCTATGGGAGAATTGTATGTTTTGTTCTGTTAAGGATTTTTGGTATGAATAGCGTCATGGATAAATTTTTTCCGCTTTGGAAGTTGAATAATTTTGACTGGGGATATTGTCTTTAGCTTTTTAACTTGTTTATCGTTGGTATTTCTTTTTTTTTTTTGGAAGAAGCACAAGGCTAAATTTTATTACTAGAAGCCAACAAATTACAACCTACTAACATCACTTGATTCCTCCTTTAAAAAATTGCAGAACAAGGAAGGAATCTTATTAGAGGATAAATCCTCCCAACTAAAATCAGTAAAAATAGCATAGCTAGCACAAATATTTGCTAGCTTATTAAATTCTCTATTTACCCAATTAAAGACAACACACTTATGGTCCTTTAACAACAGCAATTCATCTTTCCATTTACCTTCCAAACCTTGCAAATACTTGATCACATTATAATTGTCCCCCTCTATTATTACTCCTTGATAATCTAGCAACCACTCCTTGATCTCTCTTATAAACTGAACCGAGAATAGCTCAAGAGTAGCAATGTCCCAATGTAAACAAGAATGACCATAAGCCAATAGCAATCTCCCCTTACAATCTCGAACAACACCACCGATACCAGTCTTACAAGTTTTTAATAAAGATGCATCGACATTAATCTTTATCCAATTGAAAGGAGGAGGGTACCAACAATTTGACAATCTAGATGACTGATTCGTACCCCAGTGTCCCACTTTTCCTTTAGCCATAAAGGAAATAGAAGCCAGATTTAATGCATAAGAAGCTAAGTACACTGACCGGTCTTCTTTTTCACCATGAACCAATTTATTCATGGATTTCCAAGTAAGATAGACTGCATTACAGTAAACGTTCACCATAAAACTTTGTTTACCTTGATTCTCATCCATCAACCTCCAGCATGATTAAAAAGAATCAAAATTCTGGAATTGGAATCCGCATTTATTCAGGCAGCCAATGACTTCCATGATTTTTCCACAATTCACTGTGATATGATCAATGTCTTCTGTATGGCCACAACCTCTCGGACATCTATTATTTTCCTGTAGTCTTCTCTGATACAAGAAGTCATAAGAAGGTATTGCATTGTTAAACAACCTCCACCAAAAAACTTCAACACAGGATGTTAATTTGGTATTTTTCAAGTATCTCCTGAACCCACATTCCTGTTCTTGCAACAATGAACTCCTGTAAACCAGTGATGATAATGTACATCTCAAATTCTTGTGGATAAGCTCCAGGTAATCATTGTCATGATCCAAATGAATCTCAATCAGCAAATTGATCTTTATGAGCTCCTCTCCAAAAAAACTTTTTAAGCTTCAACATGTCCCATTCACCATTGTATGTTTTGTTCTGTTAAGGATTTTTAGTATGAATAGCGTCATGGATAAATTTTTTCCGCTTTGGAAGTTGAATAATTTTGACTGGGGATATTGTCTTTAGCTTTTTAACTTGTTTATCGTTGGTATTTCTTTATATTTTTGGAAGAAGCACAAGGCTAAAATTTATTACTAGAAGCCAACAAATTACAACCTACTAACATCACTTGATTCCTCCTTTAACAATTTGCAGAACAAGGAAGGAATCTTATTAGAGGATAAATTCTCCCAACTAAAATCAGTAAAAATAGCATAGCTAGCACAAATATTTGCTAGCTTATTACATTCTCTATTTACCCAATTAAAGACAACACACTTATGGTCCTTTAACAACAACAATTCATCTTTCCATTTACCTTCCAAACCTTGCAAATACTTGATCACATTATAATTGTCTCCCTCTATTATTACTCCTTGATAATCTAGCAACCACTCCTTCTTGATCTCTCTTATAAACTGAACCGAGAATAGCTCAAGAGTAGCAATGTCCCAATGTAAACAAGAATGACCATAAGCCAACAGCAATCTCCCCTTACAATCTCGAACAACACCACCGATACCAGCCTTATAAGTTTTTAATAAAGATGCATCGACATTAATCTTTATTCAATTGAAAGGAGGAGGGTACCAACAATTTGACAATCTAGATGACTGATTCGTACCCCAGTGTCCCACTCTTCTTTTAGCCATAAAGGAAATAGAAGCCAGATTTAATGCATAAGAAGCTAAGTACACTGACCGGTCTTCTTTTTCACCATGAACCAATTTATTCATGGATTTCCAAGTAAGATAGACTGCATTACAATAAACGTTCACCATAAAACTTTGTTTACCTTGATTCTCATCCATCAACCTCCAGCATGATTGAAAAGAATCAAAATTCTGGAATTGAAATCCGCATTTATTCAGGCAGCCAATGACTTCCATGATTTTTCCACAATTCACTGTGATATGATCAATGTCTTCTGTATGGCCACAACCTCTCGGACATCTATTATTTTCCTGTAGTCTTCTATGATACAAGAAGTCATAAGAAGGTATTGCATTGTTAAACAACCTCCACCAAAAAACTTCAACACGGGATGTTAATTTGGTCTTTTTCAAGCATCTCCTGAACCCACATTCCTGTTCTTGCAACAATGAACTCCTGTAAACCAGTGATGATAATGTACATCCCGAATTCTTGTGGATAAGCTCTAGGTAATCATTGTCATGATCCAAATGAATCTCAATCAGCAAATTGATCTTTATGAGCTCCTCTCCAAAAAAACTTTTTAAGCTTCAACATATCCCATTCACCATTTAAAATTAAGCAATCCACTGTTTCCTCTTCAACATCTTGAATTGAAACAAATGTTGGCCATAAGCTTAATTTTCTATCTAGAATCCATTTGTCCTCCATGATGCTGATAGAACCTCCGTTTGCAACTTCCCATTTAACTACAGATTTTAGAGCCCTCTTCCCACTTGATAAAATTTTACATGTTGTAGATGATCCACCACTTCCCACAAAATCCTCCCGCCACTTACCATATTTTTGATTTAAAATTTGATGCAGCGATGAATCCTTCTCTTGGAGGAATCTCCAAGCTAACTTTGCTCTTAAAGCATCCACACTATCCACACATGAACGAATCCCTCTGCCACCTCGATCCAATGGTTTACACAATTTGTTCTTGCTAACAAAATGCAAACCCATTTTCCCTTCTTGCTTGTTCCAAATAAACTTACGGCAATGTCTTTCTAATTATTTAAGAATACTCTTTGGAACTAGTGAATAAGTGCATTAAAAGTTTGAAATTGAAGGCAGAGTAGTTCTGATCAGCAACAATTTACCTGCCAGAGAGAGTTGTTTGCTACCCCATACCGCCGTGAGCTTCAAAGCCTTTTCAGCAACTAATTGAAAGTCTGCAGCTTTTGACCTTCTTAATGCCATTTTAACTCCTAGGTACATGAATTCTTTGACCACTTTAAAACCCATTATCCTCTCAACAGCTCTTCTCTTCCTTCTTTTAACATGTCTGCCGAACAACATCATTGATTTTTTAGAATTAACTTTCTGTCCAATCCAGCTACAGAAATCCATAATTACCTCTTTAACTTCTCTAACTTCTTTGGCATTAGCATGAGAGAAGATGATGATATAATCTGCATATAAAAGATGAGAAACCTTTGGCAAATTCCTGCCAATTTGGATACCCCTTGCTACCACATTTTGCTTGAACCGGTTTGAAAAAAGATGAGCACATAAGATGAACAGGTATGGTGAAAGAGGGCACCCTTGTCGAAACCCACTCTCCGCATTGATCCAGGTAGAAATTTTACCATTAATGATTAAGGAAAATCTAGGGAATTCTACACAATCCATGATCCATCTATAGAATTTTTCTGGAAACCCAAAGTATTCTAAAATTTTTTTAAGAGTATTCCAACTCATGCTGTCATAAGTTTGTTCCAAATCAACTTTAAATGAAACCAAACCTTTAGATGATCTTGAATTCCTGAATTTCTGAAAAGCCTCCTGTGCCACTAGAATATGGTCTCCCATAGACCTTCCATTGATAAATGCAGCTTGCTCCACCGACACTACTTTTTGCATCATCATTTTCATTTTGTTCAATAGGATTCTTGCAACCACCTTGTAAATAGACCTACACAAACTAATAGGTCTGTATTGGCTTGATGTTGTAGGTGCCCCCACCTTTGGAATGAGAACCAGAAGAGTCTCTTTCCATTCGGCATTCATATTTCCCAGTTTAAAAAACTGATTAACTGCATACCAACAGTCCTCTTTGATAATATTCCAATATGATTTCATGAAGGAGTAAGAAACCCCATCATTTCCAAGAGCTATACTCTCACTTGTTTGTAATACTACCATCTCCAATTCTTCCACCGTAAGCTCTCTGTTTAACCAATCTCTATCCTCCTCATCAATCAGCTTATTGGGACAAGGCCAGCCAATCAGATACCCTTCTCTCTTTTTTCCATTTCCCATTAAAAAATTTCAAAAATATCTCAGTTATCTGATTTTGATCTTCTGTAAAGGAGCCGTCTTCATTCTTAACTTTATAAATGTAGTTTGAGTTCTTTCTAGCTGATGCATAAGAATGAAAGAAGCTAGAATTAGTGTCTATTTCCTGCATCCACTTAACTTTCACTCTTTGCTTCCACCATGTGTTCATCCGAGCCAGAACTGTATTCAATTCTCCAATATGAGACCGAAGGGTGAAGACCTCATATGCTAACCAACCAACTTCCTATTCTTTAATCTGTAATTCCAGAATTTTATTCTTCAGTAAAGCTTTTTGCTGATCAAAATGTTTAAACTTATCTCTACTCTAGTAGAACAGAGCCTTTAGAGCTCTTCAAAATTTATGATTCAAAATTTTAGCATAATCTCCACTATACTTTCTGTTCCAAGCTGCTTTAACCACTCCAACCGAGCTGGATATGAAGCCCAAACTTCTTCAAATCTTATGATCTTATCTGATGCAAAGTTTACTTCCAAGAAGTTCAAAATGATTGGACAATGATCTGATGCAACCCTTGATAAATGCCTCACCAGCAACCGATTGTTCTTCAAAGCAATTGGATTAACATAGCATCTATCCAACCTCTCCAAGATTCTAGCACCGCCATTTTTGTTATTGCACCAAGTGAACCTTGGTCCAACAAAATTTACTTTGTTAAGGTCACATGTTGCTAAGAATGAGCTCATATCTCTAGCTCCTTGACAAA